TGAATCAACGCAAAGCTAATGCAGTCCCAAATCCACCAAGGGAGGACAGTGTGAGGTTGTAGAACTAGGCTGCTTGGGTTCAAATCCTGAGACCAAGAATAGCTGGGTGACCTTGGTCAAGTTACTTTCTCTGTGTCTCAGTTTCCTCATCTACAAAAAAGATAACAACAGCACTTACTCTTGAGGTTGTTGTGGGGATTCAATGAAATATTGCCAACAGCAGATTTTGTGCCTGATGCCAATAAAGGTTAGTTTCTTTGTTAACCGGGATACAAGTCTCGGTATCTTTTGGCCCCATCCTGTGCCTGTGCTTAGAACCTAATTTCCTAATCTTCTTTCACACATTGGGTTTGGCTAATTCATCCACTGCTGAGTAATTTATTATCACAGACGGTGTTCTGGAGACAGAACAAAGGTTAAGATGCTATGGGCTGAACGCATGGGGGAGAGACACATTTTTAGTTTGAGGAAACAGGATATATAGAAAAATTGTACACATGCCAAAGCCGGGACTGGATGAAATTAAACCTCTTGACTTAACTCCCAATTAAAACATTACAGGAGCAGCACAGGCTACAGCCTGCAACCAAGCTTCTATGAGACCTTGTGTTGGAAAATGACTTCAGGGCCCCCTTTAAAAATAAGAGCATGGTTTGGTGGCCATGTCCACAGGGAAATAGCTTCTATATGTTTTGGAAGGTCTCCTCTCTCCCCCTTACTTAAAGCACCTAGGAGATTTGACAATTAAAACCTACTAAGAGATGAGAAGGAAGAAGATAATTGGTCTCCCACCTAGTCCCACCCCCCTTGGGACCCAGCAGGGGGACAAAATGGACCTCAGAACACTGCAAAATATGCAGCGTCATAACACAGACTGTCTTCAAGCATGTGCCTTCTGCTGTGAGAAAACTGGCACTGAACAAAACTTCTGTATCCTGTAAGTGATGTGTGCACAGCACCTGTCAGCTTGCAAATCATTTCTGAGCTCTAGATCTCAAACATCCTGTGTGCCCAACTGGGTAAGAGTGTTGAGGCACAGAGGGGTGAGGCGATGTTCTCGAGGTAGCTGAGGGGGTGTGGTTGGGACCAAGTCCTAGGCTCTTTGGAGGAAGCCCTGGGCTCTCTCTCATCAGGCTAGAGCACCCTGTCTGCCTCTTTCTTCCAGAATGAACCCAGGTCCATGGGCTGGGATCCGGGTGAAGATGAACAGCCCGGCAAAGAACATAAGGGCTGTGGCCTCAATTTTTGTATTAGGTAGCTGAAGGCCACTCTAGATGACCCAAACGTTTGGAAAGCATCAAAGGAAGAATTTGAAGAAACAGGACATGTGAAAAATCACTGGTGTCCTCAGAGGGCATTCCAGTCCATCCAAGATTAAGCTTTCCCTGCTTCTCTGACCTTGAAGTGTGTGAGGCTGGGGGGGAATCAAGGAGACTCCCTGGCTTTTTCTTAGTAATTTCAACGGCTTGGGAGGTAATTAAAATCAGCTGGATGCCCCTCTAGTGAGAACTTCTCATAAAGATGATGGCATAAACTTGCCTAATGAGCATGGAGATGACAGCAAAGGACCAGGGAAGGCATTACAAAGAGTAAATTCAACTCTCAAGGTCTTCTGTTTATGGAAACAACTAAAGTTACTTTCTTTCTAGCTGCCCAAGATCAGAACCCTTTGAATGGCATCATTGCCAGTGGTCAACTGGGCAAGGAAACTAAAATTCATGGTTTCCAGTCCGTCTTTGGCTTCTCCTTCTCCCCCTCTTTCTTTCATAGAAGTCCTCTTCTAGCCATTTTTAGATGGTTCCCCTCTTTACAAGTAAGTAGAGTGCAAATAATGAGCTCAATGTCGTTGAGTTATTCTTTGACTCAAGGCTCCAGCACTTGCTAGCTGGCAAAGGCCCTCTGGGTTGTCACTTAACCTCTTGCACCTCGTTTTTTTCCTCTGTAAAATGGAGATAAGTAGCTCCCACCTCTGGGATTATTTCAAGCATTAAACCAGATAACCCATGAAAAGAGTATCATCACACATTGCTGACATCCAGTAGGGCTGTTGCTAAAATCTTTTCTATCAGTTTCCTATTGTAAGTGTCATCAAAAATCAATCTCTGTGCTTCAGAGTGCAAACATAACTCGAAGACAGAGTTTGGGGTAAAGAGGAACATTAGCTTTATTGCTTTGCAGAGCAAAAGAGGCTGCAAAACTGCAAGCCCGCCCAAAGTTGGGGGCTGGGGTGTTTTAGAGGGACATCAGGATCTAGCTGGTTTTGCCAGGACTGTGTATGCACTGCCAGCTCAGTTGTCAGGGTGGTACAGGGTTCCTGAAAGAAAAGGCTAAGAAGGGAGGAGGGGAGGTTTGAGGAAGAGAGGAAAAGGGTTACTTAGTTTGAAATCGAGCCTCGCTGGGCCATTAGTACAGCCATTTTGATTTTCAACTTTGTGCTTTCATTATTTTTTTTTAAAGTTTCTTTATTGTATATATAGAGAGAGTGAGAGAGACAGAGTGTAAGTGGGGGAGGGTCAGAGAAGGAGGGAGACACAGAATCCGAAGCAGGCTCCAGGCTCCAAGCTGTCAGCACAGAGCCTGCTGTGGGGCTCAAACTCATGAACCACAAGATAATGACCTGAGTCGAAGTCAGACGCTTAACCGACTGAGCCACCCAGGCAACCCTCAACTTTGTGCTTTTAAGCCATTTCATAACGAATTGTTGGGCCTAAAACAATACAAATTCTCCTATGGTTCTGGAGGTCAGAAGTCTGAAATAAGCCTTACAAGGTGTGATATTGTGATTTGTAATAAATATATATTTGGTCTTCATCCCAGTTCCTGGCACTGAGCTCCTAAAACGCTTGGAATTTCCTAAGGGAAGACAACAGTAAAGGTGTCCTTTGTTCTGTTGGTGAGTGACTTTTGGAAAGCACCTAAGGGTAGGAGCTGGTTGCTAGAAGCAGAACCTTTCAGTCTCACCCTCTGACCTCCAGGGAGGGGATAGGAACTGGAGATTGACTTTAATCACTAGTGGCCAACGATTCAATCATGCCTATGTAATGAAGCTTCCATAAAATCCTCTAAAAAAGACAGGATTCGGAGAGCTTCTAGATTGGTGAACATGAAGAGATTTGTGGAGATTAATAAAAATATTAATGGTTGTGGGGTACCTGGGTGACTCAGTTGAGGGTCCGACCCTTGGTTTTGGCTCAGGTCATGATTTCATGGTTCCATTTGAACCGATCACTCAGAGTGAGTATGGGATCTCCATCTCCCTTCCCACATAACTTGGCCTTATGCATCTCCTCCCCGCCCCCCACCCCCCCACCCCACCTCCCACCGGCTGTTCTGGAGTTATATGATATAAACTGGTAATCTGATAAGTAACATGTTCTCTGAGCCTGTAAGCTGCTCTAGTAAATTGATCAAACCCAAGGAAGGGGTGATTGGAACCTCCAATTTAGAAGCATAGGTGATAGACTGGACTTGGAATTGGCGTCTGAAGTGGGGGCAGTCTTACAGGATGCAGCCCTTATCTTGTGGAATATGAGGCTATCTCCAGTTACACAAGGTCAGAGTGAGTTGAACTGTAGGCCATGCAGAATCACTAGTGTCTAGTGTCAGTGGTGCTGCATTCCTTCTAGAGGCTCTAGTGGAGGATTTGTCTTTTCCTTCTAAAGGCTGCCTGCATTCCTTGCCACATGGTCTTTGATCCTTCTGCCTCCCTTATAAGGACATTTTGATTACGTTGGGTCCACCCAGATAATCTCCCCATATCAAGATCTTTAATTTAATCACATCTGCAAATTCCCTTTTGCCATATAAGGAAACATATGAACAGTTCCTGCAGATTAAAAGATGGACATCTTTGGCAGGGGAGGTCATTAGTCTATTGTTATCATTAATATGTTTTTTTAAGTTTATTTATTTATTTTTGAGAGAGAGTGAGCAAGGGAGACAGACAAGCAGGTTCTGTGCTGTCAACAGCAGAGCCCAATGCAGGGTTCAAACGGAATCGTGAAATCATGACCTAAGCCAAAACCAAGAGTCAGATGCTCAACTGACTGAGCCACCCAGGCACTCCACAATCATTAATATTTTTATCAAACTTAGCTCATTTAACTTATATAATCCTCATTAAATCCCATGAAGTACAGACTATTTTCTTCCCATTTGAAAACTGACACAGAAGAAGTTAAGTAACTTTTCCAAAGTTCCAAAGTTACATAGCCAGTAAGTGTGATTGGAAGCCAGGAAACTGGCCTCTGGAGTTCATGTTCTTACTAGCAGAAATATGTGTACAGCATTTTTTTTTTTTTTTTTTTTTTTTGTTTTTTTTGGTGTGTCACAAGAAAAGGGGGGGGGGGGTATGGAGAAGGGAGTGGGGAGAGAGAATCTTAAACATGCTTGGCTTGGAGTCCATCGTGGGGCTGGATCCCACGACCCTGAGATCATGATCTGAGGTGAAATTAAGAGTCGGACGCTAAACCTATTGAGCCATCCAGGTAACCCAAAACAGCTGAAATATGTAAAGTGGTATATAATAAGCACTGTATTAATGTTAGCTATTATTGTCATTTCTACCAAGATTAATATAATAATCCGTATCACATATGGCTTTTGTGAGAAATAAGTTAAAGTGTAAGAAGCACCAAACAGTGCCAGTCGTACAGCAGGTCTTCATTTAGATCTTTCCAGTCCTTACCCAGCCCACCTTTCTTTTCAAAAGGAAGAACAATTGTGCTCACTGTGCCCTCCCCAAGATGGCGCCATCCCAGCACCCAATCCGCCCCATTCAAGATGGCGTCCATCATTCTGAAAGCCACATTCCGTCCTTCTCAAGATGGCGCCAACACTAGCCCTTGTTACCTTCCTCTCTCTTCAAGATGGCCTTAGCTTAACAGTGGGCTTCTTTGACCCTCTCAAAATGGTGGCAGGCACACCATGCACAACATCTGACCCTTCCAAGATGGCGCCGGCGTCGCAAACTTTTCCTCTGTTTTATAACAGCACTTCCGGTTGCGCCGGATGCAGGCGTTAGAGGCCTGCGGGAGGGCGTCGGTGCTTCTTCGCTTTGCGCTGGGAGCCTCTGGTGCCAGAATGGACCGGAGGAAAAAGCCTTTGGACGTTACTGCCTCTTCGGTGAGTGCGGGTACGGTGATGCTCCGGGGCTCCGAGTTCTCCTCACCTCCACTAGACAAGAATCTCGACCTTGTGTGGCTTTCCCGCAAACAGGAACCCGAACCTGGCTTGTTTCAGTTGGGGACCCGGCCCAACTTTCTTACTGGGTTCTCCCCTCGGACGTACACCCGGACCGGGATTCCCTCCTTCGATACGGACCTGAACCTGATATCTTTTCCCCTTTAAGAACGTCCTTGCCCTTCTGCGACAACCGGGCCAGGCCTCGTTGCCAGTCGTGTCTCCCTCCGTGGTCGGAGAGGAACCCCGGCCAGTGCTTGCTGTGCAGACACATTCCCCTTCCTCCTTTCTTTTCCAGTCCAGAGACCAGCAAGGTCCTCCCAGAATATGAGAGAATGTGACTTATTCCCCTGGATCCGAGAGCGCCCAGCGTCCCCTGACCAGGAACTAAACAGTTGTTAATGCACCCGTAGGTTGCGGTGCTTGCGAGTTCTAAGCTCTAACAGGACGTAAGCAGTTTTGTTAAACTAGCTACTTCTAAGAAGAAAACCTGCTCTGACGTTTCTGTGCACTATCTCGTTGAATTCACCCAGCTGCCTTAGAAAGTAGGTGCTATTAATATCCCGGTTTTATAGCTGATAACTTTGAGGCCCATTTAAGGCAAAGTGGCTTTCCCCAGTTTACATACAGAATTCTTAGTGATAGAACTGGCTCACTCAATCTGGTTGTCTCCAAAGCTGTTGCCTTTTCTGTTACATCAGAGCAAATTGCCTAATATTTGATTTAATCTTCAATTTACTGCAGAGTATTAGGATGCAAAGGAAGTGCAAAGGAAAACTTCTATGTGTGCCAATATTTGAGTCTTTTTTCCTTGTCTGATATTGAACTTTAGTGCTAGTTAGTATGTTTGAGCAAAAAGAGCAAAAAAAGTATAAATAATAAAGTTATTCTATCCTGACAGGTTAAAATTAGCAGTAACCATAATAGGAATGTTCTCTGGGATGGACAGTTTTCAGAGCATCTTCTTTTTAAAATTCAAAAGTAGTCACAGAATAGGAAAATGTACGGCTAGAAAATGGAGGTGGTTAAGAAGGCTTAGAAGAAGAGGCTGTAAAGTTTTTGTGTTTAAAAGCTTAGATTATTAGGTTCTGGGATGACACTTCCTTTAGCATTAAATCCCTGCCAAGGCTGCTTTTAAACTGATGTCTTCCAAAATAGAAATCCTTGAACTCATTTTGATTCCCCTTAAAAGTCAATCTGTGATGCTTTATAAGTATCCTGTTGATAAATGCCCACGTGGAAGCACCTGGGTGGCTCATTCGTTTAAGCTTCTGACTCTTGATTTTCAGTTTAGGTCATGATCTCACAGTCCTGAGATTGAGCCCCGCGTGGGGCTCTGCCCCAAGTATGGAGCCTGCTTGGGATTCTCTCTGTCCCCCTCTCTCTCTCTGCTCCCCCTTGCTCTCATGCGCACGTGCATGCTTTCTCTAAGCATTAAAAAAAATGCCCATGTGTATAGGGAACTGTATCTGGACCTTTAAAATGGAAACTGTCGTTATATCTTTCTTTGCAAAGTAGACACTAGTGATTGGTACAGTGAGAGATAGGCATGGATATTCACCCAACTGCCCTGTTCCCTTTGCCCTGGCCTTTCCTGTTCTTGAACCCTGTGATTGAGCTAAACTTGCAGTTTCTAAAACATACATTCTTTTCATTCACTCAGTCCACTTTATTTCCAGCTGTTGACATCTTGCATATCTTTTTTTTAAATTTTATTTATTATTAAAAAAATTTTTTTTAATGTTTATTTTTTTGGGGGGAGAGGGGCAGAGAGAGAGGGAGACACAGAATCCGAAGCAGGCTTCAGGCTCCAAGCTGTAAGCACAGAGCCTGACACAGGGTTTGAACTCATGAACCCCAAGATCATGACCTAAGCCAAAGTCGGATGCTTAACTAACTGAGGCACCCAGGTGCCCCTTATTTATTTTAAGTAATCTCTACATCCAGTGTAGGGCTTGAATTCATGACCCTGACTGAGATCAAAAGTTGCACACCCCTCTGACTGGGCCAGCCAGGCGCCCCTTTCCTGTCTTTTAAGGCTCAACTCAAAGCTGTCTCTGACCACTCTGGACAGCAGGAAATGCTCCTGCAGCTCAAATTTTATGCTATTTTCTTCCACTCTTTTTTTCTTCTTAAAGACTTTTTAAGTAATCTATACACAACGTGGGGCTTGAACTTACAACCTTGAGATCAAGAGTCATATGTTCCGACTGAGCTGGCCAGGTGCCCCTGTTTTCTTCCATTCTTTTTTTTTTTTTTTTTTTGAGAGAGAGAGAGAGAGAGAGAGAGAGAGAGAGAGAGAGAGAGGTACCTGGGTGGGCTTAGTTAAGTATCAGTCTTTGGCTCAGGTCATGATCATACAATTCCGGAGTTCAAGCCCCACATCAGGCTCTTTGTTATCAGCACAGAGCCCTCTTGGGATTCTCTCTCTCTCTCCCTCTCTCCCTCTCTCCCTCTCCCTCCCTCTCCCTCCCCCTCCCTCCCTCTCCCCCCCCCTCCCCCTTCCCCCCCCCCCCCACACTCTCTCAAAAATAAATAAACATTTAAAGAGAGAGGGAGTCTTAAGTAAGCTGCACACTTAGTACAGAGCCTGACTTGGGGTTCGGTCATGCCTCTATCTCACAATCCTGAAATCATGACCTCAGCCGAATCAGGAGTCAGACAGTTAACCTTAATGCTTAACCTTAATGGACTGAGCTACCCGGGCACCCCTTCTTCCACTTTTAAAGTCATTTATTACATTTTACTGGTATTATAAGTTACCTTTTTTATTAGATTGTAACTGAGGCAGAAGTGTTTCTATTTCATGTTTATATCCTGCTCTTCAGTACTCGGATAGTTGCTGAAGACATTTCTCTGCAGAAATAATAAATTGTTGTGATGATTATATGGGATTACAGTATCAGTCAGAGAGAAGGTGTTTAGTGTTGTTAATTCAGTCTGAATCTAATAGATGCAAACTTCATTTACTTTTGAGTAATTACCCGCCCCTTGCCCAGTGTTGAAGGTTAGAGTAGAAATACGTCTCCAACAGAGCTGGAATGCATTATGACTTGACTTAGTTTGCACTGGATTCTATATTTAATTTTGTATTCATTTTTGTCTGTTTATAGGAACTTTAAATCTTGCTTTGAGAATTACAGTAACTTGGAAATCTGGTCACTCATTAGAACTAACCCATCGTTTTTGTTTGCTTATTGCTTTTATTCTAGTTGGTAGACCTTAAGGCTGAACTCTTCCGAAAACAAGAAGAATTCAAACAAGAAAAACTTCTAAAAGATTCTGGAGTTTTGGGAAAACCAAAAACAACTAATAAGGTAAAAATAAGATCTAGTTATCTCCACTGATTCCAAACATGAGGGAATTATGCCATAATTAGATTTTTTGAAAGTCTCCTGGTCTCTGCTACATATAAAATTTCAGGGAAAATCCCTATCTTGTAGCTGAACATCCACATAAAATATATTATATTAAAATAGAAATTAGAGCATTTTAAAAGCCTATTATAATGTTGTATGTAATTCTTTAGCACTTCTTTTGGAAAAGTGCATGCTCTAATAAGTGGTTTTGTACCTGTTCATGGAAGATCAGCTACATAGGTATTATAAATCCAAACAGAGAGAAACAATTAGATAATACAGTAATATAGCAGAAAATACCAAGATCTTTAAGAGTTGTGAATGGTTTTCCGATTTTACAGGTAATGGTACTTATTATTTGTATTACTGATTCTCTTGAGTTAAGTTGCAGTCATTCAGGAGATAAAAGATAAATGTGCAGTCGCGTAAAAGGAATTCTTTAAATAATTTAGGGCTTTTTTTTTTTTTTCCACCTCCAGCTTTTCCTTGTATAGTTTATTTGCCTGACATAGGTTGGCTGTCAGAAGATCTAGTTTTCTCCATTGATCCATAAGATCTAATCTGTTTTTTTCTTCTGATGTATAAAAGTAGAGATTTTTTGCAATCATTTGGTATTTCTGTTTTGTCTTTTTAAATTAATATGCTGCAGAAACCAAGTATCTGGAGCAAACAGAATGTAGGAGTTACAAATAGAGCTGAGAAGGATGCAGAACAGAAGATTGAGGAACAGAAGACTTTAGACAAAGCAAGGTAGAGTTAAACTCTGATAAATGTAGTTGCCTTTGGTGTTACCCAAGCAAAGAAGTGAGAGTTCCACTTCACACTTTTGAATTTATAGGTTTAATTTTGTCATCTTTTCAGTCAAATACTACAAAAATTTAAAATAGCCTCTAAAAATAATATCATTTGTAATCGTATAAGAAGATAAGACATAACCTCCATTTGGAACATGAAACAGAATCCAACTTTGAGCCTTTGTTAGGCACTAAGATTATCAACAAGTGTTGAAGAAATGTCCCTAGGAAGGTGTGGCTCTGGGCTACTAGGTGTTATGATGTTAGCATTTCGAAACTGAATTTTCCCTTTAACTTTTTATTTTGAAAAACTTCAAAGCAACAGGCTAATTGAAAGGATGCCTGGGTGGCTCAATAGGTTAAGCATCCGACTTCAGCTCAGGTCATGATCTTGTGGTCTGTGAGTTCATGCCCTGAGTTGGGCTTTGTGCTGACAGCTCAGAGCCTGGAGCCTGCTTCAGATCCTGTATCTCCCTCCCTCTCTGCCCCTTCCTCACTCACACTCTGTGTCTCTCTCTCTCAAAAATAAATACATATTTAAAAAAAAAAAAAAAAAAAAATACCCCGGGTTTCCCAATTAATTCTTTCCCCATTTTCTTTTGCTCCTTTCTGTCTCTGGTGTGTGTGTGGGGGGGGGGGGGCAGAGAAACTTTGTTAAACATCATGATACTTTGCCTCAAAATATTTCAGCATGTATCTCCTAAGAACAGGATATTCTCCTACATAACCACAATAGTGCTATCATACCCAAGAAATTTAACACTGATAAAATAGTATTATATACGATATGATCTATAGTCCGAGTTTACCAGTTATCCTGGCACAGTTAAATCCTTTATAGTTTGTTTTGTTTTAATTCAGAATTCAAAGATCACACATTCCATTTAGTCTGTCATTTTCCTTTCTTTCTTTCTTGCTTTCTTTCTTTCTGAGAGAGGGTGTAAGCAGGGGAGAGGGCAAAGGGGGGGGAGAGAGAGAGAATCTTAAGCAGGCTCCATGCTCAGCAGGGAGCCTGATGCAGGGCTTGATCCCATGACCCTGGGATCATGACCTGAGCTGAAATCAAGAGTCGGGTGCTCAACTGACTGAGCCATCCAGGCACCCCTCTTTTTTTTTAAAGAGGGAGAGCTTTTGTATATAGAATGACTTTCTTTTTTCTTCCTTTTATTAAAATTATTTTTTTAGTAATCTCTACACCCAACATGGAGCTCAGACTCACGACTGAGATCGAGAGTGGCATGCTCTACCAACTGATCCCGCCAGGCACCCCAGTTGTCCTATTTCTTTAGTCTCTTTTAGTCTAGAATAATTCCCATGCCTTTTTGTCGTCTGTTGTGCCATTACTGTTCTTGGTGAGTCCAGGCTTGTGTCTGCAGTGTCCCACAATCTAATTAGAGTCTCATTAACTGCTTTTGGTAAGAATAAGATGTAGGCGGTGTGTCCTTCCCATTGGATCACAGCAGGAGGTTCACAGTGTCAGTTTGAGTTATTATTGGTGATGAACTTTGATCACTTGGTTAAGATAGATTTTTTTCACCGTAAAGGTCTCTTTCCCATTTGTAACTAATAATAATCTAAGGAGGGCAACTCTGAGACTATGAATGTCTTGTTCACCAACATATTTCCACCAGTGGAACCTTGTAACTTCTCAGTTGTTAGATTGGTGATTTCAAAGTGATGATTTTCTAATTCATTCGTTCCATTTTTATTTTTTCATTCCATTTGTTAGCTGGCATTCTTCTGTAAAGAAGAACTCTTCGATATTTACAGTGTCACCCTAGACTCAGAGGGAATCCCAAGTTTGAATGTCTGTCATGACTCATGTGCTTTTGGATCTATTGCGTAATAAAAACTCTGCACTTGGAAACAGTAGTTGCTAAGATTACTCAGCTCTTCTGGGTTTGAAAAAAAGAGGCAGAATATTAGCGCATTTGGGGAATTGTTTTTCTTAGTGTTTGACCTGTTCCCAGCAGACATAGCATATGTTAATTTTTGAGACATCTTTCTCACCCTACTGGAATATTCTCAGAATTCTAATTTGTTGAAAGGTGCCATAATCCTTTGTTATTTACTGTATATAACAAGAGTTTTCCTGGGTACTTTGCTGTGATTTTTTTTTTTTTTTTTTTTATCCAGTAACCTATTACATAATACTTTGGCTTCTTTGTGCTTATGAAGAGTCAAGTCTGTCCTTGGTCTACAGGACTTCTGAGTCTCCCCAGAGCTCAAGATGGGCAGGGACAGTCCTTTGAGGATGTAAGACCTTAGGCAAGTTACTTCTCCATTGAGATGTTCCTTATCTATGAAGTGAGGTGGTTAATACTCAGCTCATGGAGCTTTGTAGGGAATTCATTAAAGGAGATACATAGTGTTTGGCACATAGTTGTTCCAGATAAGTGTCCCATACTCTTGCCCTCTGAATTCCATCTTTCTTACTTGACTGAAGAAATTGTTCTTTAAAGTCTCTAATGACTTCCTCATCTACTAAATCCAGTGGTGGCCATTTCTCTGACATCTTCCTTGATCTCCGTTATTCATCTGGAGACTCTTCCTGCCATCTTTCTGTTACACTGCATCCAGGCTTCTTACGCTTTCCCATGTTTGTTTGTTTTTTAAGTGTATTTATTTATTTTTTGAGAAAGAGAGTGCCCGTGTGTGCTGGGGGAGTGGGGGATGGGCAGAGAGAAAGGAGAGAGAGAGAATCCCACTGAGAAGGCTCAGTGCTTCCAGTGCAGAGCCCTACACAGGGCTCAATCCCATGAATTGTGAGATCACAACCTGAGCTGAAATCAAGAGTTGCACACGTAACTGAGTCCCCCAGGTGCCCCTCCCACGCGTTCTTGTACCTGCCTCTTTCTGTCCTTATTTTGTGCCCCCCTCTCCTTTGCTCAGCATCCTCCACCATTGTGATCTCTGCTTGAACATATCAAGCTCATTCCTACTTCCTCCTTCCTCTGTCTCACTTGCTTTCTCCCCAAGATCCTCTCATGGTTGGCTTCTTGCTCTGTAAGCCTTAGCTCAAATGTCACCTTCAGAGAGGTTTCCCCTGGCTACCCTTTCTAGCCTAGTGTCCTCCTGGTTACTCTGTCCTCACACCTGTTTTTTTGTGGTTTGTTTTTTAAAAATTTTTTAGGTTTTATTTTCATTAAGACAGTAAGATTCGGGGCGCCTGGGTGGCGCAGTCGGTTAAGCGTCCGACTTCAGTCAGGTCACGATCTCGCGCTCTGTGAGTTCGAGCCCCGCATCGGGCTCTGGGCTGATGGCTCAGAGCCTGGAGCATGTTTCTGATTCTGTGTCTCCCTCTCTCTCTGCCCCTCCCCCGTTCATGCTCTGTCTCTCTCTGTCCCAAAAATAAATAAACGTTGGGAAAAAAAAAATTAAAAAAAAAAAAAAAAGACAGTAAGATTCTCTGATGACACAGCTTACTACGTTAAGCCCCCTCCGAAATAGAGTCCTTGTTACGGAAACAGTGCTTGGCATAGAGGAGGCCTGGAGGAAGTACTTGTTGAAGGAATGCATAAAATGGGAGAGGAATCTTTCTGACCTAGATGACGAAGATGCAGATGACGTACCTGATGGCATGCTTTCCGTGTGCGATCTAGTTACTCTCCATGACAACCCTAAGAGGCAGTGCTGTTTCTTTCATCTGTTACAGATTTAGGAACTGGGGGTGGGGTGGGGTACAAGAGAGGTGAAGTAATTTGTTCCAGAGCACACAGCCATGTGACCAAGGGACTTTATTGTCTCGGGATGCCATTAGAAGTGAAATTTTCCTTTATGATTAAGTGTGATTGATTCTTCGCAAGCAAAAGCTCACATGACTTCTTTGGGACTTCTCTTTACCATCATTATTTCTAAAATAAGGAATTGCTAGCCATCTTACTAAGTCTGTGTCCACTAAAAAGTAAATGTCACCAGAATTAATGTGACCAGTGAGGCTGCTTTATTGAAATACCAGGGTTGATGTTTGTTTTTTATTAGCTGTGTCATGAATAAATTACTCATGGTCTGTGTAATACATGTATGATGTATTCATGCATCATATTTTAACAGACTTCTAAGAAGTTGATCTTTAGCTCCCTTAGAGAAGCCTAATGAGCCACAGATGATCAGGGACTCGTGCCTTAAAACAGTAATGCAAAGGGTGTGCATTGAACATGGTGATCCCTTTAGAAGGTTGCACATAGAAAATGTTTTTATTTAGACACCTCTTTCTTTTTTTGGTATTTAACTTAGTTTGCATTTGGAATCTTAATTCATTATTTATTTTCAGATACTGATTGAGAATTTACTATATACCAGGTATTGTTCTAGGCACTGGGATATAGTCATTAATAAGAGAAAGATGGGGCTTGTCCTCATGGAACTTACATGAAGTTGGCAATCAGGAGTGGCTGGGTCTGAGGGTCCCCTTAGGGTGGGGTGGTCAGCTCAGCCTCATCACCAGACTGGGCCTCCTGGCAGATTGCAGCAGTCAGGCAGCCTTCACACGAGTAGCAGGCGTAAGACCATTTCTAATACTTGTCTTTTTTTTCTCCTAGGGAGAAATTAGAAGAAAAAGCCAAATTATATGAAAAAATGACTAAAGGAGACTTTATAGGTAAATACAATAATTTATTTATACTTCTTTATTTTCTGTAACTCATATAGCCCTGTGGTATTTCATTATTTATTAAAATAACCTTGGGGCGCCTGGGTGGCGCAGTTGGTTAAGCGTCCGACTTCAGCCAGGTCACGATCTCACGGTCCGTGAGTTCGAGCCCCGCGTCGGGCTCTGGGCTGATGGCTCAGAGCCTGGAGCCTGTTTCCGATTCTGTGTCTCCCTCTCTCTCTGCCCCTCCCCTGTTCATGCTCTGTCTCTCTCTGTACCAAAAATAAATAAACGTTGAAAAAAAAAAATAAATAAAATAACCTTAAGTATGGGGAGAGATTTAAGAAATAACATGCATTACCTTCTGAGCCAGCACAGGGACGAGAAAATACATCCACGGTAATCTCTGATTGTCCAGTGTGCACCACATGTTAGGTGCTGTGAGGGGACAAACAAGGGTAGCATGAGCCAGATTCTCTTCTCGGTCCTCAAGGGGATTGTCATCAGTGGAGGACAATGGCATGCAGAACAAAGCAAAGTTAGGAAATGAGGTCTAAATAGGCTACAATTAGAAACAATTCTACCTATATTAAAAAATGACTGAGGGGAATTATAGGTATATCAGGGTGTTGGAGTTAGGTTTCCTTGTCCCTATTTTCTATTTTTTTCTGTGATGCGCCTGTAATTGCTTCTAAAATAATAAGAAGATCCCCCTTTCCCCATACCCCCTCCCCACCAGAGAAGGAACGCCCAGCCTTACTATTAGATAGCAGTAGAAGAGATTTTACAAGGCACTGCATTTTTCATTGCCAAAAGGCATGTGAGGAAGTCTTTAGGGAGAAGGTAGGCTCTAATAGGATCTCAAAGGCTTTGGAGAGCTGGAGAAAGGGATTCTGCAGGGTAGAGTGGTGAGAGAAGATCAGCAGAGAGAGGAGAGGGCTAGTGTTGGCAGACAGACTAGTATGGCTGGGCCTGATGGACTGGGAAAGGGGGCAGTGGGGCAGCAGGAGAAGAGGCAGGGCCGGAACCTTGGTCATTGGCTGCCCACACAACCAAACTCCCTCTTTCCAGGCAGCAGAGGCATGTTTCCTGCCTGGCAGGGAGCCCAGCATGGGAGAGGCAGGCACTCTCAAAGCTAGGGCACATGGGGAGAGGCTGTGTCTTCCTTTTGATGAAGCAGCAGGGTGTCTATTAACCAGGAGGCCTCACTGTTATGTGGTCTTAGAACTCCGCTCTGAGAAAGTACATCTCTTTCCCATGTGAGTTATTTTGTGGCTTAAAAAAAAATTAGTCTTTTTTTTTTTTTAATTCAGACTTTACTTGTATCGTTAATATAGAAATCAGGTCAAAGGAGTGTGCCTGTGGACCTGGGGATTGGGTTCTGTCCAGGATGGTGGGACCTGATAGGCCTGATAGGCATATTGGATATTTGGGCAAGTTAAGTTTTGGAGCCTCAGTTATTCTCCACTGTACCTTGGGGGTTAACACCGGTACCTGGTAACAGGGAACCTAATACCTGTTCCATAGAGCTTAATCCTGTACTCAAAAACCTCAGAGAAAATTCAGCATAGTGAAACTTAATGTAAATGTTATTTGTGAGTATTTCAACTGTCTTGGGTTAAATTGAATTAAAGTCACGGGTTGCTATTTAACTTTCAGCGTACATGTTTTAGCTCAAGCATATTATAAGCTATAGGTCTTACCCGTCTCTGTATGCACTACAGATCCTGGCACCATGCCTTGCCTGAAAGTGGTGTTAATTGCATTGAAAAGAATTCAGATGACTTCTTTTCCCTATATTATGACCCTTAAAACACCATACCACAACAGTATAATTAGGGTTGGTAATAATATAGCCCCTTGATTGGGGAGCTACATGTAGTAACACAGGTCTGTTGCTTTGGTCTGGCGACATGAGAAATGCAGTCCTGCTTCTATATTATGTCATTGGGTGAATGAGTGTCTTTGCAATCACGTGGTTTTATCTTAAAGTTACATTCTGAGACCATATTGCTCACTCATTGTATTGACGAGGCAACAGAAGACTTTAGACTCTTAAGATTTTTTTAGTGTGGTATGTGTTTCTGATGGCACATTTGCAGCTCCACGGTTAGATCCCGCAGTGGCTCTGTGTCTTTGTAAACTTTCGGGGGGTGGCGGGGGTGGCGGATGCATCAACTAGTGAGCCGTCCAGGGGGAGTGTAGCCGCCCAGTGGTGAATGTGACTGCTTCATATCAATTCCATATGTGGTTTACATCTTTGAAAAGAATGTCAAAAATCTGAATATTGATTTTTATGTCTTAGATGAAGAAGCGGAGGATATGTACCTTGTGGATTTCACACAGAAGATCATAGACAAACACAAAGAGATGGAGGTGTTTGGTGCCAACAGAGATTGTAGGAAGGCAGGAGAAAGAGACGATGATGAAGAAGATCTTTCTGAAAAAGATATACCTCCTCCCCAGGACCCCGGTGAAGAATGGTTGGTGATAATGACATTAATTGGTCATGTTAACATTCTCAGACTTGTGTTTACTTTTTTTTTTTTTTTAAGTAAGCTCTGCACCCAACATGGGGCTTGAACTCATGACCCTGAGACCAAAAGTTACATACTCCACCGACAGCCGGTCAGGAGCCCTGACTCGTGTTTACTTGCTGAAAGTGATTTTGTTTGGATGCTATCAAACCATTTCTCTTCAGTCTTCCTCTCTTTCCTTTAAGATTGGATTTACAGAAACAGTGGCTCCAAAGAAGAAATAATTAACAAGACCGGGTCAGGTGCAAAAGGCATTAATACACCTGTTTGACTGATGTGGAAGTGTTGTTTAGACAGAAGCGTATTCCTTTCTTACCTGGGCTGCTGCCCAGGTCATTATTCAGGCATTGTGGAGAGTCACTGTCCAGCTGGTGGTGATCTTCATTTCCACAGAAGAAGGCAGGCAGGACTCTGGCTGGGGCATTTCTGGCAGTGTCATGTAGGCATTGTGGACCTCAGACCTGCATAGCAGGTCTTTCACTGGCAGTATGACCTTGATCAAGTTCCATCCTCACTGAGGCTCAGTTTCCTCACCTGTAAAACAACGAAGCCTGGTTTTCCTTATTGTTTGCCTTAAACTCCCTTCAGGAAGTAAGAGTATGTTAAGCTACCCAAGAAACTGCTCTGTGGAGTAGAAGCACACATGTTGTAAGCTTTTATTGAAATTATTCTAAGTTTTACCTACGTGTACGTGAATGATGGGGAAGCAAACTAGTCTCTTCCCTATGAGACCAATATGTCAATAAGTAAAGAGACCAGAATGAAAAGTCCCTTCTAAGGATTTTCTCTACTGAAGACTGTGTTTGCAAACTTGTTCAGACGTGGTTAAAATTGCATAGAGCTGCACTGATGCTGTAAAACTGAGAATAACCCCGCCTGCCCACCCTCTTGCCAGTGCAGAGCCTACCCACCTTCCCTTCCAGGCTCAAATATCCTCATTATTGGGATCTTTGTTGGGAACCGCTCAGGATAGTTTGCAGCACTTGCTGACCTTTTGTCAGCTCTTGGCCCCGTCGGTAGGAGTCATCGGTGAGCTTAAGAGAGCAGGTCCGGCTACTGAGGATTGCAGGGACCTCACATCTTCATACTACCGAGGGTGTCCACGTTGTCTGGAAATAACATGACATTGGGATAGAACAGATGTTATCTGCTTTCTAAAAATTTACATTTGGGCTAGGTTTTCTGGCTGCATACTTGTTAAAAGCAACCCAAAGAGAAGCACATACGACGTAGTCTCTTCTACTGATGCTTTTCCTCATCGTTTCCAGTATGAGCGATTTCTCCCTCACCCGAAATCTGGTAGCACTTAGATATGCTTCCGACTCCTTTGGGTCTTAGCTTCTCTTTATTATTGACACACAACTGGCCTCGTTACTAGAAAAAAAATTCGAGGCAAAACTTTGGTACTTCTTATATCCTCCCTGCTGATGTTAGGAAGTGTTTCGTGGGCACGGGCCTTAACTCTCCCTGAGAGCGCTTTGAAGATGCCATGACTCTGAGCCCTGCCATATTACTCTTGTACCTCAAGTAATTGTTTTCCTGGAGCTTGTTCAGTAATTGCTGATTACATAGAGCACTTGCTGACTACTGTCTTGCCACTTCTGTTTTGAGGGGATCTGTACATTTTAGAGACCTTCTCCAGAAACAGAATAGCCTATGATTGCTTTTCATAGCAGAAATCTCATCTCCTTTGAAAGGTTTAATGTCTTTTTTTTTTCTTCCTAATGCTTGTATGATTACTAGCAATTTGTCAGTGATTTGAAGAGTTTGGAGGGCAATTGAAGGTGTCACATGCCACCATATGGTGAAGGAAGACGCACCGCAAGCAGTTCTGACACTTTTTTTGTTTTTAAATTAAGCTCCAGAATTGTAGCTACTTGTAAAATCCTTTTGCTAGTTAAGTTCCAGGTGGTGGAAAATCTTTCCGCAAAAATACTGTAAATAATTACTCAGACCATCTGGCTAGATGATTTTATTTCTCTATTCATTAAAAAAAGTGGAGGGGGGAGGGAGGAAGAAAGAAACTGCCTTCTGCAGTTGGAGGTTTTATTTCTCACAGCAATCAGCATCAGGACTATAGTAATAGATTCCCAGACATTCAGTTTTCAAGTCATGGGCTAACAATTGGAATCAGCACGTGTAAGAGGAAAGAAATTGCCAACAAAAGCAGAGCCACATACATGAGACTCTGATCTTGAGTTGCACCAGCAGTACTGACCCCTTTCTGTGTTTTTAGCCCCCTGCTAAAGGCTATAGGCAATTCCTTGCCCATAATTAAACAATAAATCTGTTGCATCATAATGCAGTTGAAATGTTTTCCATGAAAATCCGTCCATATTTCCTGTTGGAAGTAGGAGTATTTCGTTTTGCCTTGATGTCTGCCTGGTTCCCCTGACTGTAACTTCTGTCTGGTTTGGGCAAAGCTAAAGAAAGCGGAACTAAAAGTAAAAGATAATAGACTGGCCCACCACTGAGCTGCTTTTGCAGTACAAAATGTGTGTTGCTTGGCTTCCTCCTAATTAATGAGTCCTCATAGTAATCCTGACTTGAGAAATTTCTAATTGGAAGGAGCTGTACCAATTAGAAGAAGTAAAAGAAAAAATAAAAAGTCAGGTTTGCAAAGACTGAGAAAATGAGCAGGTTGAGCATGGTACAGAGCAAAGTTATGCTGGTAAAATATGTGGAATTGTCTAAACCAGACTGAAGGAAGTTCTGAGGTATTGCGGCAAGGGTCTGTGTGGGGTGTTTTTATTTTATTTATTTTTTTAAATGTTTATTTTTGGGAGAGAGCAAGAGAGCATGCACACAAGCAGGGGAGGGGCAGAGAGAGAGAGAGGGAGACACAGAATCCGAAGCAGGCTCCAGGCCCTGAGCTGTCAGTGCAGAGCCCGATGTGGGCCTCCAGCTCATGAATTGTGAGATCATGACCTGAGCCGAAGTCGGACGCTTGACCGACTGAGCCACCAGGCACCCTTGTATTAAATCACAGACATATATGATCAATCATTTTCTGCATTTTCTAAAACTAAGGTTTAACAGAGGGCACAATGAGCTTATTGTGTGTCAACTTAAAAAAAAAAAACAAACATGTTCTTATCCGTGGTTATGGTCTCTCAGGGTTGAGAGTGTTTCTTGGTAGTGAAGCTTACATTACTTTTTTACTGTGCACCTAGTCTGTAACTTAAGGAACCATATGTCATGTACAAAGCCTTCTTCACATGTTTTCACTTTTATTTTAGGGTGGATTATGTGGATTCTTTAGGGCGATCTCGCCGCTGTATGAAAAAGGATTTGCCAGATCTGCTGGAGATGGATAAAAATCTTCAGGGGAGGCTGTAAGTATGTGATATGCAAACCTCTGCCCAGGTCTGAAATGCAGACATAGGGATTGTTTTATGGGTGAGGCTGCTTTTAGTTCATTGTCTTGATGGTCCAGTAAGAAGGTTTTTTTCTTGATGCGTAAGAATATTTGCCGAAGAACTCTTCTATGGTTAGCACACACACATAATCCACACTCAGGGAACAACCTGAATAGTTGATCATCCATATTGTGTAGCTACTGAAAGGGATGAGTTGGAAGCTATATCTGTTTACTTGGAAGGGTGTCTGATTATCAGAGTTAAAAATATAGAATGAGCCCAAACCAACAAACAAACCTTTGTGGAGAAGGATATTTAGGAATATGTACTTGGTTATCCCATAGCAAGTGAGAGCACGGAGGTGGTTAGCTTATTAACTTTATACTAATTTTTGCATTTTGAAGCAAGGGCCTTATTGCTGGATTTTTTCCTTTAGGGCCAGAGACATCTATGAGATAACTTGCTAGTACACTCCAGGGAATAAAATTCCCCTCACCAAGGGCAGTTTTGATGTGGAAAGTCCACCTTGTCCAAGTCCTTCAGGTTCAGATCGGCCTGGGCTCAGCACAAGGAAGGAAGTGCAGGAGCCCTGAGCCGCCTGACACGGGACAGGAGACACTGCCTGGCTGCAGTGTTACGCAGCTGACCATGCAGCCGAGGCCCTGGCTTCTTCCTCCCCTTTAGCCCAGAAGGGGATGGGAAGGAAAGTGGTTTGTCTCAAGTGCTGAGGCAAGATTCTGTTGCACTAATGTAACAAGTCAGCTGCTTAATTAAAGAAAGATGAAAACAGTTTTTGCAGTTTCCCAGTGGTATTGTGGGTCAGAAAATTCTGTAAGGAATTACCTTATCAGCTAGAATTACTTGTCCATGATCGAGCTTACTGAACTGAAGTATTGCTGTCTCACAGCTCTTACCTAAATATAGCTTTGCTCTGTCCCCCTACTAGTTTCGTTAGTCCTGCTAATGAGAAAACCTTATTATCTGAAGATATGAGAAAAGAACTTCAGCGCCAGCAATGGGAGGAAGAAGAAAGAGAGGCCTTGAAAAGGCCGATGGGGCCCATACATTATGAAGACATTCGTGAAAATGGTATAATCATCTTGCAGCTTTTTAAATCTTTTTTTTTTTTTTTTGGACTAATGGCAAGCATAAAGGGAAATATTCATAAAGCTGTAGCTCTTACGTAGAAATAAAAGATTCTGATTTTGAAATTGAAAATATCCCCTTTGTTTGCTTTATAGCCTAAAAAATACTCTTGTTGGGAATATCTTTCTAACAGAGGGGCTGCTAATCATAAGCAGGAGATCTTTTTGGCTTAGCTGCCTTTTTTTTTAAACTTGTGTCAAATATTACTGCATTTCTTTTTGCCTTCATTGGAAATTTAGCCTGACTCTAATTTGTTAATCAGGGAACTCTAATCTTCTGAAAAATTGTGACTTATTTCAGAGGCCCGGCAACTTGGTGTTGGATATTTTGCCTTTGCCCGAGATAAAGAGTTGAGAAACAAGCAGATGAAAACGTTAGAGATGCTACGTGAACAGGTAAAAATTAAATTCAGAATTGATGTTAAGTATTTGAGAGCGGTTTGTTTCTTGTTGGACCATATTATGGAAATGGTCTATTTTTTAAATTGATACTCAAAATGGCCTTTAAAAAAAATTTTTTTTTGTAACATTTATTTATTTTTGAGACAGAGACAGAGCATGAATGGGGGAGGGTCAGAGAGAGAGAGAGAGAGACGCAGAATCTGAAACAGGCTCCAGGCTCTGAGCTGTCAGAACAGAGCCCGACGCAGGGCTCGAACTCGCAGACCATGAGATTATGACCTGAGCCAAAGTCGGACACTTAACCGACTGAACCACCCAGGCGCCCCGGCCTTTTTTAAAAAATATTTATTTAATAGTTAATATTCAGAGCAGTGATGGATAAAAGTACATTAAATAAACTTTCCATTTTATTAAAGATTAATATTTCTGATAATTAGTAAATATTGTGGCCATAAACCAGATACTGTATTATTACTTTTTAATTGATGTATAATTAACACATAACATTATGTTAGTTTCAGGTATACAATATACTTATTCAGTATTTGTGTATATAGCAAATTGATTGTCACATTAAGTTTAGTTACTATCTGTCACTATACATAGTTACAAAAATTTTTTTTCTTGTGATGAGAACTTTTAAGATGTACTGTCTTAGCAACGTTCAAATATGCATTACAGTATTATTAACTGTGATTGCCATGTTTTACATTACATCCCCATGACTTACTTATTTTATAAGTGGAAGTTTAAATACCTTTCGATTCCTGTCACCCATTTTGTCCACCCCCTACCCTCACTTCTGTCAACCACCAATCTGTTCTCTGTATCTATAAGCTTATATTTGTCTTTGTTTTTTTTTTCCTTAGGGAAGGGGGTTAGATTCCACATATAAGTGAGATCATGCAGTATTTGTCTTTTCCTGTCTGACTTATCTCATTTAGTATAATGTTCTCAAGGTCCATCCATCTGGTTCAAATGACAAAATATACTTCTTTTTTATGGCTGAGTAATATTCCATTCCTCCCACCCCTTCTGTATCCATTCATCCATTGATGCACACTTAGGTTGTTTCCATATCTTGGCTGTTGTACATAATTCTGCAGTGAACATGGGGATGCAGATATCTTTTTGAGTTAGCATTTTCATTTTCTTCAGATAAATAAGTGGAACTGGAATCACTGGATCATATGGTTAATTTTTTGAGGAACCTCTATACTGTTTTCCATAGTGACTGCACCTATTTACGTGCCTACCAACAATGCACAAGTGTTCCCCTTTCTTTACATCCTTGCCAACATTTGTTGTTTCTAGTCTTTTTGATAATAGTCATTCTAATAGGTACGAGATGAAAGCTCATTATGGTTTTAGATTTGCATTTCCCTGATGATCAGTGATATTTAGCATCTGTTCATGTGTCTGTTAGCCATCTGTATGTATTTTTGGAAAAATGTCTGTTCAAATTACCTGCCTGTTTTTTAATCGGACTGTTTTAATGTATATATTAATCCCTTCTCCGATAATATGATTTGCAAATATATCTCCCATCCAGTAGGTTGTCTTTCATTTTGTTGATGGGTTCCTTTGCTGTGCAGAAGTTTTTAGTTAGATATAGTCCCACTTGTTTGTTTTTGCTTTTCTTGCCTTTGCTTTTAGTGTCAGATCCAAAAAGTCATTGCCAAGACTGATGTTAAGGAGCTTATGGCCTATATTTTCTTCAAGACGTTTTATAGTTTGGAGTCTTGTGTTCAAGTCTTTAGTCCATTTTGGGTTAATTTTTGTATATGGTGTAAGATAGCGGTCCAGTTTCACTCTTTGCACCTGCCTGTTCCTTTTTTCTCACATGATTTATTAAAGAGATTGTCTTTTCCCCATTGCATATTATTGGCTCCTTTGTCATAAATCAATTGACTGTGTATGCTTGGCTTTATTTCTGGGTTCTCTTTTCTGTTCCACTGATCTTTGTGTCTGTTTCTATGCCAGTGCCTAACTGCTTTGATTACTATAGCTTTGTAATATAGTTTGAAATCAGGACGTCTGAGGCTTCCAGTTTTTTTTTCTTTCTCAAGAATGCTTATTCATGGTCTTTAGTGTTTCCATACAAATTTTAGCATTGTTTGTTCTATTGTGAAAAATACTTGTTGCAATTTTGATAGAGATTGCATTGAATCGTAGATTGCTTTGGATAATATGGATGTTTTATTAATATTCATTCTTCCAGTCTATGAGCATGCTATATTTTTCCATTTCTTTGTGTCTTCTTCAGTTTCTTTCATTGTTGCTTTATAGTTTTCAGAGTACAAGTCTTTTATCTCCTAGGTTAAATTTATTCCTAAGCATTTTATTCTTTTTGATGTAATTATAAATGGGAATGTCTTCTTAATTCTTTTTCTGATAGTTTGTTACTAGCGTATAGAAACATAACAGATTTTTGTATATTGCTTTTGTATCTTGCAACTTCACTGAATTCATTTATTCCAACAGTTTTTTGGTTGGTGTCTTTAGGGTTTCTATATATAACATCCCGTCTTCTGCAAATAGTGACAGTTTTATCAATAAACATTTATCAGTATCAGAATGCTATTATAGTTTTATGAATGTAATTGCTATTCTATTTTGGTGTTCCAGACTTTAAAATTATAGCTGCTTAGAACTAACTTATATAACTTTGATGTTTTAAATTTGGTTTTAAATATGGTACTTTTAGAGTGGCCTGGGTAAGAAAATAGAGAGTTATTTAAGGGATTTATTTAAGGGATTAAGGAGTAGAACAGAATTGGTTGGTTTCCTTGAATGTGAAGCATTCCAGGGCGCTCTGTGAACACTCGCTAAACTTAGAAAACATGCCAGAGGGCTTGTATAAGAGGGCCTCCTAGGTCTCTGTTTTGAAGAGCTCAAGGCTAGCTGCCTAGTGGTGGCCTGAAATCAATTAGTCTGTTTTTTAAGATAAAATTAATATTTAATCCTTTAAATTCACTTTTAATAATTTTAATTTGAGAAGAAATATTATGAATTTGATTTACAGTAAATTTCTAATTTTCTGTTATATTCAGACAACAGATCAGAGAACAAAACGAGAGAACATAAAGGAAAAGCGAAAGGCTATGTTAGAAGCAAGGCTTGCTAAACTCCGACAAAAAAAGATGAAAAAGTCAAAAGAAGATGGAGCAGAGGAAGAAAACAAAGGTATATCGTGGCTCATTGTGTCTGAACTTCAAAAGGAAAATCTTTAGTTCCACTGATGTCTCAGTGAACAGGACTGACAATCTGGAAATGAGCCATTTAGTTTTATTCTCTAAGCAAGCAGGGTACCTTTGGGGTACTGCCAGGAGCAGTTTTTTATAATCCACGTGGTGCAGAATGACACTCGAAAGAATCTTTTTATAGAGACAAGAATATTAATGAACAGGACATTGTGTTACTTCATAGAAGGGCCTGGCTTAGTAAACGAGACTTCACTTAGAGCAGAGATGTTTTAAGATAGAGTTTTGTTGTACACCCACATTTTAGACTTGGTTTCTTTTGCTATGGCTATAAGTTTTTTTGGTTATTGTGCATTAATTTATTTTAAAGGAGAAATATATTCACAAAGTCACGTAAGAAAGGAAAGAATTTATGAGTATAGACAGCTTCTGAAAGGACTGTCACAACACGTGGAAACACCACATGGCATGTTGTGTCCCTGAAGGCTTCTGCTTGCTGCATAAGCTACCCTAGTCTGGGCTTCACTGCCATTCCTGAGACTCCTGCATGGACTGGCTCCAACGAGCTGGAAGTCTATTTTTGGTTTTAATCCTTTGGAGGTGGTGGGTATCTAGGCAGGTAGTAGCTCTGCCCCACGTGGTCACCCAGTCCCCAGCTTCCTCCTGTTTTCCTGCTTCTGCCGTTCCTAGAGTGGTGCTCTACCTGCAGGGTGGAAGCTTGCTCCCTACCACCTGTTCATGGTCCAGCCCTAGGGAAGCGGGAAAGAGGGGAGAGGAACCTGTTGCTTCTTTAGGAATGTGAATTGGAAGGCCCACACAACCATGCATTTACAACCCACTGGCCTGAATGCAGCTGCAGGGGCCCCTGGGGAATGGCCTGTCTAGCGAGGTGGCCACATCTCTAACTGAAACTGGGGGCAGGGCGTTCCATTCCCAAAACAAAAAAGGTGAGTGTGGGTATCAGGAGCATGTTATACAAGCCTCTCCTGCTCACATGGAAGCCTTGTGCTAAGCCATCGGCCATTTTCTATTCTGAACACAGCTTCAGTTTAGCTTTGAAAGGAGACAAGAAACATTTAGGAATTGGAAGATCATCTGTTTAGTTTTGTATAAATGCTGTGTTCCTGTAACATGTTAAGCCTCTGCATATTGTTTCTCTATTTTTTGCTCTACTCCTGAACATCTGTCATCTCTACAAGATGTGGAGCACCACACAGTGTTTTTTCAAAAATCCACTTTCTTTTAAAATCTAGCCAAAGGTGAAGGGCCTACAGCCCACTGCCACACCCCAGCTCTTTGTCACTCCAAGTTCTCTTGCTTTGTCTGAGACTCTTATTTTAGTGGAGTAACTGGGGGTTTCACTGGTCCTTCAGTTGTCGGTCTGGGGAAGCAGGGTGGCATAGTGGGAAGCACAGAGACTTTGAAATCCATCCCACCTGGGTTCGGATCCTGGCTCTTGTCACCTTCTACCTGTGTAGCATTTCTGAGCTTAATTTTCCTCATTTATAAAATAGGAATACTAACCCTGACTTTATGAGGGTTATTATAAGAATTACACAAACTATTGTACACAAGGTACTTAGTTCATTCCCTGGGCCAAAATAGGTGCTCATTAAATACTGGCTGTTACTTTTACTCTCAAGATGAGCATGTTCTATTTAATGTTTATTTTAATAATAGCTTTAAGTTTTATTATAGTGATGTCTTATTCTCTTGCAAAAAAATAGATGTTATTGGGCCTTTGCCACCAGAACCAGAGGCTGTGCCAACCCCACGTACTGCTGCCCAGAGTAGCAAAGTGGAAGTCATCGTTCAGGAGAGGAAGGATACCCGCCCGGGAGTGCCGCATGTCCGAGAGTGGGACAGAGGAAAAGGTAAGGGGTGGGGGGGCGGGTTCTAAACAGGCCTTGCACAGACTTTTCCAGTTCATCTCAGAGTGTGATTCTCATGAGTCTTAGTGTAGAGGCTTTTGAGGCTCACGGAACTCTCCAGATCTTTGAACTGTTTCTTCTCAGTACCCAGACCCTAGCTGTTTGTAAACAGGGACACTAGAAAGTGTGATTATAAAAGACCAGGGTCTACAACAGGTCATTTCAAAAGGACAATTTTTTTTAGAAGCACTGGGGGAAGTTTTTAAAAATTTGTGCTACCCTCATGTGGCTTTACAGCTTTGGAATGCCCTTTCTCAGGAGCCACTTTTAAAAATCTTACAAGGTTTGGTATTTCAACGTCCTCTGTGTTTTTAGCAGCCTCCTTTACGTTTAGTTGAAAATAGTCTGCATGCCACAGGATTCACCTGGATTCACGTATGGTTCTGTTGGGTCATGCAGATTTTTCCGTAAATTATTTCTGTAAATCTACCATGATGCCCACAGCAGCTTCTTGTTGGGGGAGACCAGGATTTATGCCTCTTTGAACAAGATTGTTACAGTAGTGCATTAGCTCACCCTGTTTGAGCTGATGAGATCCAAGACTCAATAAAGGCAAATAGGCCAGTGCATTTGGTTAGTGCTAGTTAGAAATAGAGATGAAATGCCAAATTAGATTTGGACTTTCGTGTCTTCTAAAACTCAGTAAAGGCCAAAATTTGTATTTTGTTGTGAAGTACCTACGTTATGTCTAGCAAATGATTTGAGTGTTTGGTTTTTCTGTATTTCTCTCTCAGATGTAATTTTAGTGCCTTTTTGGCAATACTTCCAGAAGCTACCAGCCTTCTCCGCCAGAGCCTTCCTTGAATCTTCCCCATCTGGAAGTAGTCACTCCCTTTGCTTAGCCTGCTGCTTCCTTATATTTTTGTAGGCCTTACGTATACCTCGTATTATATTATTGCTTTCCTTGCTATCTCCTCCAGAGAATGGGAGTTGGCATTTAAGAAGTATGTGTAATAATCGAAAAGTAATAACAATAAAAATTCAACTGATTTGGTCTTTACTTCTAATAACACTCTTTCTTATTTTTATTAGAGTTTTCCTTTGGGTTCTGGTCGAAGAGGCAGTCAGATCTCCGGGCTGAGAGAGATCCTGAGTTTGCCCCACCATCGGATTACTTTGTGGGTCAAAAGAGAACTGCTTCCCTCAGTAGCGAGACGTGGAGCAGACCTGCAGCTGCACCGAGCGACCCAGGACAGTGCTCTGGCCAGAGTCGTGACACTGGCTCTTCACATCCACCATCCACTCCTGCCCCCAGCAGCCCACCACGAGCCCCGACAGTCACTTTTGAAACTCTGGACGATATGATATCATATTACAAACAAGTGACATGAACTTCCAAACCGTTCTGATTTGGGTCTCTACTGTGGATAGTGCCTTCTTCTCCTAAATTGGGGAAGATAATTTAATTTTAGGGACTGAATTGTACCTGTTTCCTCCCATCCTTTCCCTGGAAGACACAGACTTCAGGTTGGATTTGTCTGTCAGCAAGGAAGAAAGTGAATGGTACCATGGGAATTCTGTGGCCACTTGGCTGTTCATTTTTTTCTAATTGATATGGAGCCCTGTCCTTCTGGATTTATGTGTAAGCTGTCATGTACGACCCCGAAGAGCTCGTAACCCTGTTTCATAACCACTTCCTTGGCTTACCTAGATTTAAGGGTTCCATTCCTTTCCTTTTGCAGATACTAGAGTGCAGCTTTCTTTGTTCCAAGGATTCAGCTTCCATATCAATTCCGTATCTGTCGGGAGGTGTGTTAGGCTGTCAAAGTGGCAAATGAGGGGACACTGTGGGGCAAAGTGATCTCGTCTCCAAGAGGACCATGAAGCTGGTGGACTATTAAGTAATAACATTTGAAATAAGACCAGAGAGGAGAACTTCATAATCCAGAAAGGTAGAGGGTGAAGTCACTTATCTTGTCATCCCATCCTAAATGATGGTTGTCACCACACATGCCTAGTGGGCATTCGGTAAGTGTGTGTAGAGTCCCTGGGGCACATGTGGAGGCTGCTCAGCCTGGTCAGAGAGTGAGATGCTTCTTAGCTTAAGGGTTAGTTTTTCAGCTGGGCCTGCCTCTCTGTTGTGTCCACTGTAGGCCCTCATCACTCTCAGGAGCCAAGTCACCTCAGAAGTCTGATTGGAATAGACCTGAGCTGGAGTAAGAGGAGGGAGGTCCCTTTGTCTTTACTAACAATGAGCTCCAGAAGCATTTCCTGTGCCCGCTGCACCTCCGTGTCTTTACAGCTGCAGACAAGCAGTGGGAGTTGGCCCATAGGACTCCCTGTAAGAATGTGCTAGAGCAGGTCTTTCAGGTACCAGAAGGAGCCTGCACTCTTGGGGCTCTGATGCACATAGTCTCAGTGGTATTGATGGGAATGCCCCCTTCTCATTACAGATTGCAAACTGCAGTGCAGAGAAGGTCAATGACTTGTCCAAGGTCATGTAGCATCCGTATGGCAGCTCTGGGACTTCAGGGCAGTTTATTTAGGCTCATGTTTGCTCTAGCCTCACTTTCTCCAGTGCCATCTGCTCTCAGTCTTGTCCCAGTTATCAAATAGTATTAGATGAAAATCCCATATTCTTGCAAACTTAACTTCTGAACTCCATGTCAAAGGCAAAGTTGCCTGCCCTACTAAGGTCATTCTGTCAGCCTGATCAGGCAAATACCTCTTCAAAAAAATTTTTTTTAATGTTTATTTTTTGAGAGACAGCGTGAGTGGGGGAGGGGCAGAGAGAGAGGGAGACACAGACTCTGAAGCAGGTGCCAGGCTCTGAGCTCTCAATACAGAGCCCCATGCAGGGCTTGAACTCGTGAACCGTGAGATCAGGACCTGAGCTGAAGTCAGACACTTAACCGACTGAGCCACCCAGGCGTCCCAGGCAAATACTTCTTTTTAAAAAATATACATTAATATCAACTGACCCAGTAACATTTTTTGCAAAACTTGATAAGCTGATCCTAAAATTGGTATGGAATTGAAGAGACGCAGAGTATCCAAAACAATCTTGAAAAAGAACAAAGTTGGAGGACTCGCACTTCCTCATTTCAAGACTTACTACAAGCTACAGGAATCAAAGCAGTGTGGTACTGACCTAGATCCATGGACTAGCGTTGAGTCCAAAAATAAATCCTTATTTCTGTGGTCAGTTGAGTTTTGACAGTGGTGCCAAGGCCATCCAATGAGGTAAAGGATAGTTTCTTCAGATGATTTTGGGACAACTATCTGCATGCAAAAGAATGAATTTGGACCCACAACTCAGACCATAAACAAAACCAACTCATTGTCAAAATGGATCAAAGACCTAAACATAGGAACTAAAGCTACAAAACCAACTGAAACAGCTTGTAGTACAAAGGGAGAGGGACAAAAAAGGAAAATTGGAATACTAGCGAGAAAAAATAGAAATAATAGTTCACTGGAATCCTAAGAAAACAAAAAATGGAAGGGAAAGAACAAAAACAATAGACAAAGGAGAACAATGGAAAGAACATGTTTATGAGGTAGAGCAGAAGGGCTTGAGAGCTGACTGTGGAGAACAGGCGGGAAGGCCAGCCAGACAGCAGTAAGCCCAGGCCTGTGGGAGTAGCCGTCATGAGCAGGATCCCCAAATAACCTTTCATCGTTGCCCAGGATGGCCCAACCTAGGGTGGATGGCGAAGCAGTCTGCCCTTTGGCTTATGGTCACTGTCGACTAATAACTGTAAGTCGGATGTCCTCTAGGATTTCAAGACTATATAAACATTTCTAATCCTCTCTTAGCATACATGTAGTTGTTTCATGAGCCCAGTTAACATCCTCTTCCTTTTCAGACCCAGAGCTGAAGTGTTAACACAGTTTTACCGGTTCTTGTGGGCCTGTTTTGTACACATGTATCCAGCAGATGGCGTTCAAGTCCTCAAGACTTCAGATCAGTCTAGAACAGCACTGCCCCATAGAAATAGGATGAGAGCCCTCTGTCATTTTCAGTTTTCTGGGACCCACATTACAAAAGTGTAATTAATTTTATTGTATACTTTATTTAGTATATCCAAAATATTTCAACACTCCATACTAAAAAAATACTGAAATATTTTACATTTGTTTTCACACCAAGTGTTCAAAATCAACTGCAAATCCTCCCATGGTACATCTCAATTCAGATGCTAAGTTTTCATCAGGAGTACTCGATCTGTATTTATATGTCATAAAACATACAGGAAAAAGTAGACTCACACATCCACATTGTTGCAAAAAGACAAACATTTTTAAGTTTGCCAGTAACTGAATCCAATATCAAGTCATAATACAATTTTAGTTCTTAGTCATACTAGCCACATTTCAGATGCTCAAAAGACACGTGTCTAGGGCTACTGTCTGTCCAGCACAGTACAACTCTACATGATCTGTTTATATACACTTTATGGTCTGACCACACCTACTCCTCCCATTAGCAGCTAAAGGACTGATAAACATTTCTTCCAGGCATACATTAAGCATTCAAGATATTATGGCAGTGTTTCACTTGAAGGCAAGGAGCAGTGAAATCTGTCAGAAAACATGACCACACCTTATTCATATCTTTGTAGAGCTAAGCGGAATGTTTTGGATCAGAAATTGCTTTGAATTACTTGTTTCCATTGTAATCTTTCCTCCAGGCCTTTGTGTGTTTTGATACAGTTCATTTGAATTGGCTAAATAAATCATTTTGTTTGCTTGCAAAATTCCCAAAGGAGAAACTTTAAATCCATATACATGAGATTTCTGCTATGTTTAGCCGTACATTTGCCAAAGACTTGTGGGATCATTTATTTCTTCTTAAAGCCATAGTGCAGCCTGCAGGATGGTTTTCAGCTAACCTTGTTGTGACATAGAGACGAGGCGGTAGAATTTAGAATTTGGAGCAGGGGTGGGTACTGGTCTTTACAGTTAACCCAAAATAGATTAGCCACGCCGTATGCGTGTAGTTTCTTTTTTAGCCTGTAAATTGAACTAAGTCAGTTATATGCCAAGCAGTTCCTGTAAAAAACAACATGGCTAAGGTAAGTGATAATGATTGAAAAGAATTTGTTGACCCACTGAAAACTGGGAGAGAGAATGAAACTCCCCCAGCCCTCCCGCCCGGTCTTTGCCTTGGTGAGGCATTTTGCTAGTGTAGGTTGTGAACGTCTAGCTTAACGTTTATAGTTTGGGGTTGGTGGGGAAGAGACTGATGTGATGGGTGTAGATCATTGTCTAGGAAAACTGGAAAATTCATGGAATGAAGCAAGGTGTTTTAGTGAAAACCTGTCATTCAGGCCCAATATTGATCTGTTACCCTGTTTCTTAAATCCTGGGCTCCATTTATATATTCATGCATGGTAAATGTATGTTTGTTCAGTGACGGGATTGGTCAGAAATACTACTTCTTTTTCATCCTTAATTTAAAAAATTTATTTCTCCATATTTCTAACTACCACGTTCTTCCTAATTCTGAAAGCTCACCTGCTTGGTGGCAGTTTTGCCTGGTGATAAGCATTTTCCTTGGGGTACATTGTATTCTGTTCCTGTTTTTTTGTTTTTTTTTTTTTTAGGTTTTTTTTTATTTTGGGAGAGAGAGTATATGTGTGTGCAAGTAGGGGAAGGGCAGAGAGAGAGAGGGAGAGAGAGAATCCCAAGCAGGCTCCACACTGTCCGTGCAGAGCCCGATGTAGGGCTCCATCTCAGGAATCCTAGTTCCATCACCACACCTAGTTGCAGAATTCTTTTTCTTGTGATGAGAACTTCTGAAGTCTACTGTCTTAGCAACTTTCAAATATGTAATCCAGTGTTAACTGTAGTCACCATCCTATACATTACATCCCCATGGCTTCCTTATTTGATAACTGGAACTTGGCAGTTTTTGACTCCCTTTATCCGTTTCGTCCATTCCATCCTCTGCCTGTGGCAACCACCAATCTGTTCTCTGTTCCTGTGAGCTTGGTTTTTGTTTTTGTTTTGTATTTGTTTTAGATTCCACATGTAAGAGATCATAGGGTACTTGCCTCTCTGACTTCTTTCACTTAGCGTAATGCTCTCAGAGCCCACCCGTGTTGTGGCATATGGCAAGATTTCCTTATTTTTGTGGCTGAATAATACTCCACTGTGTATATAAATCTTCTTTCTCCGTTCATCCATCGATGGACACTTAGGTTGCTTCCATATCTTGGCTATTGTAAATAATGCTGCAGTTAACACATGACTGCGTATATCTTTTCCAGTTAGTGTTTTTGTTTTCTTTGGATAAATACCCAGAAGTGGAATTCCTGGATCATATGGTAGTTCGATTTTTAATTTTTTGAGGAGCCTCCACATTGTTTTCCATAGTGGCTGCACCTGTTTACATTCCCACTGTGTACCAAGGTTCCAGTTTTTTCAAATTCTCCCCAACACCTGTTATTTTTTGTCCTTTTGATAATAGTTATTCTCACAGGTGTGACATGATATACCCCATTGTGGTTTTGATTTGCATTTCCCTGATGTTGAGCATTTTTTCATAATTTGCAAAGATCTTTACCTTAGGAAAGGCTTTTTGTCCCTGCTTCCAATGACCTGCATAAGTTTTAAGGTATACGTAACCAATGTAAATATAACATTAAAAAAATTTTTTTAACATGTTTGAAACTGAGCTGCTCAGATATTTTTAATTGGTACCTGATAGTTCATCAGATTCATCTGCATCATTGT